TGGGAACAGCCATGGAGGAACAGCAGTAATTATTAAAAACAATATTAAACAGTACCCAATAGAGGAATACCGAACAGAAAAAATACAAGCTACATCTATTAAACTTGTAGACAGCAAACTAGAAACTACATTCTCCGCTGTGTATTGTCCTCCAAAACATACTATATCTTCTAACGACTTCCCGAAATATTTTTCTACACTGGGTAACAGATTTATATGTGCTGGCGACTGGAATTCTAAACATTTAAATTTGGGATCTAGGCTGAACAATACTAGAGGAAGGCAACTTTATAAAGCCACAGTAGAGATGAAATTAGAATGTCACTCCGGCAGAGAACCTACCTATTGGCCTACCGACAGACAAAGAATCCCAGACTTATTGGACTTTTTTATTGTTAAAAACATAGATAGTAACTACTTAAACATAGAACCTCGAATAGATCTCACATCTGACCACACACCAGTTATATTGAATGTTACTACAACAGTTAATCTGGTAGCACCGCCCCTAAGGATATACAACTCCAACACTACAGACTGGACAATCTATAAAAATATAATCACAACAGAGACAGAACTAAAGACCAAAATTAATACAATAGAAGAACTTGAAAGACAACTGGAACAACTTAATATGAATATTCACATTGCTGCCAATTCTGCAACTCCAAAAAGGACAGGTAATGGACAACCTCTGAAACATAACTCATATCCAAAAGATATTAAAGAGAAAATACACGAGCGCCGACGTTTGAGAAAAATCTGGCATACTATATATGTTATATCCAAGTGATAAAACTGCATTCAATAGATACTCAAATGAACTCAAAGCTCTTATCAGCACCCTAGAAAATGATAATATTCAACACTATCTCTCAAATCTAGATCCAACGATAGACACAAACTACTCACTGGAAGGCTACCAAGAATCTAAAGCGCCCGAAAAACCATATATCACCTATCAATGATGAAAAAGGAGGATGGGCTAGATCAGATAAAGAAAAGGCAACAATCTTTGCGGAATATCTGAAAACAGTTTTCCAACCACTCCCTAAAAACAATCCCAAACATACTATGGAAATCAAAGAATACCTCGACTCAGCGAATCAAATGTGTTTACCACTAAAAAGTACCAGCCCAAAAGAAATTGTGAAAGAAATTAGGAACCTCAAGGATGGTAAAGCACCCGGCTATGACCTGATTGATGCCACATTACTTAAAAACTTGCCTCATAAAGGTATCATGAAATTAGTTAACATCTTTAATGCTAGCTTAAGACTTGAACATTTCCCTGGGCAATGGAAAATTGCACATATAGTCATGGTGCCGAAACCCGGTAAACCCCCACACGAAGGTACTTCATACAGACCTATCAGCCTGCTACCAGTTATTGGCAAACTGTTTGAGAGGATATTGCTTAACAGGATGAAAGAACATCTAAGTACAGTATTACCGAACCACCAATTTGAATTCCGGGAAAAACACGGGACAATTGAACAGGTACACCGTATAGTTGACACCATTAGCAGATGCCTTGAAAACAAATTATATTGCTCTGCAGTCTTTTTGGATATCAGCCAAGCGTTTGATAAGGTATGGCATGACGGCCTCCTGTTCAAGCTAAAGAAGCATCTTCCACATTGTCTATTCCTAATATTGAAATCCTACTTAGAGAAAAGATGAAAGTGAAGTACGGCGATGATCTCTCAGAAGTACACGAATTAAAATCAGGTGTCCCTCAGGATAGTATATTGGGCCCTATACTATACCTCATTTTTATAGCAGACATCCCAACAACTAACTACCACGACTGCGACATACGCTGATGATACGGCGCTTCTGTCGGCTCATAGCAACCCAGAAACGGCATCATCACAGTTGCAAAACCACCTGATAGAAGTTGAGAGGTGGCTGAAGCATTGGAGAATTAAAGCGAACGAGAGCAAATCGGTACATGTAACGTTTACTCTTAGGAGAGAAACATGTCCTTCGGTAACGCTACACTGCAAAGTTATCCCTCAAGAAAATAACGCAAAATACATGGGCATGCACCTAGACAGGAAACTTACATGGCAATAACATATTTGGACAAAGCGCAAACAACTGGATGGAAGGCTGCGGACACTGAACTGGTTACTGGGACGCAAATCACAACTTAATCCTAACAGCAAGATGCTAGTGTATAAAACCACCTTAAAACCAATCTGGACTTACGGGATACAACTGTGGGGAACGGCCAGCAACAGTAACATAGATATCTTGGAGAGATTCCAGACCAAAGCTCTGAGAACAATGTTTGGCATCCCACATTGTATAAGCAATAGGTACATATACCTCGACCTCGGCCTAAAAACAGTCCGACAGGAAATAGCTCAAAACAGCCTGAAATACCAGGAGAAGCTGACCTCCCATGTCAAACTGGCACACGCTCTGAGCGGAGAAGGTGGTCTTCAGCATAAGCGGCTAAAAAGAAGGGACGTACCGAGCCTATATAAAAGATTTACCTCTTAACATCAAGAGAGTCGTGGCTCTATGTCGAGTATAGGTCTTGAGGATAACATGAACTGAGTAAAATCAAACAAACAAGTGGCTTATTGCTGGATAGCAGATTGCCATGAAGCAGATACAAAAAAAAAAAAAGTCATTTCTCATCAATTTACTCTTCCAATACCACAAATAATTACTCTCCTAACTTTCCATCATCAAACTACTCTATCGGTAATTTACAAATAACTAGAGAGGAACTGTTAAAAAAGTTACAAAATGTCGATCTCTTTAAGGGCTTTGACGGTATCCCACCTATCTTTGTTCGTTTTTGCGCTCCTGCTCTTGTTACACCGTTATTGATTATATTTGAGAAATCTTTGCATGAGGGAGTATTTCCTAGCCTATGGAAGATAGCTAATGTTACACCAGTGTATAAATCTGGAGACAAGGGTGATGTTTTGAATTATAGACCTACGAGTAGGTATGTGTATTCTAAACTTATTTGCTAAGATATACGAGGGTTTCATATATACCCATATGTATAACCATCTCAAACATATATTAAGCCCACGACAACATGGATTTGTTACTGGAAGGTCAACCAACTCTAATCTATTATGATATGATCATATATCTATATGATCATATACGATGAACATAAATAAGTAGTATACTACTTATTTATGTTCATCGTTCAATAATAAAAAGCAAGTGGACGTTATATATACCGATTTTTCAAAAGCTTTTGATAGAGTGGACCATTTTGTATTGCTTGTGAAGGCTCAACATGTGGGAATCCATGGGAACTTATATAGATGGTTAACTTCTTACATGTTGAACAGCACACAACTCGTTGCTCTTTGTACATATGAATCTGTGCCATTTTTAGTAACATCGGGCGTGCCCCAGGGGTCAAAGTTGGGTCCTTTATTGCTTTTGTTATTTGTGAATGACTTGCTAAGCAAAATTAGTAGTGAATGTTTGGCATATGCAGACGACATAAAAGTCTTCAGACGTATATCTGATAGAAGAGATTGTGTGACCCTTCAATCGGATATTAATACTATATCTGCTTGGTGCAATGAAAACTCTATGGCTCTGAATATTAAGAAGTGCCAGGTTATAACATTTACAAAAAGTAGGAACCCTATTCAGTATAACTATAATGTTAAGGGTATTCTTGTGGATAGAGTTGAGGTGGTTCGAGACTTGGGAGTAATATTTGACTCTGTTATGTCATTTAGACCTCATTATGATTATATCTGTAGTAGAGCTAACCGGATGTTGTCCTTTATTCTTAGAACCGCTTAACCGTTCAGGCGAGCCGACTCCTAGATTGTCTTATACAGCTCTCTCGTGAGAACCATGGTTGAGTACTGTTTAGCTGTATGGGCCCCGATATACAGAGTTCATACAGATAGATTAGAATCTATACAAAGGCGGTTTGTTAGAGCTTTATGCTCAAAGTATGGTCTTAGACGCAAATTAAAGCAATATGACCAGCGTCTTGCCCACTTTCAGATTGTAAGTCTTGAAAAGAGAAGATGGATGAGCGACCTGTGCACTTTGCATAAAATAGCAAATGGCTCACTTGACAGCTATCTTTTGGATGAACTTGACATAAAGGTACCGACGCGTTCTGTGCGTAAGCCGCAACTATTTATGATACCCACAAGTAACAACAATGTATCCCAGAATGGTCCGCTCGCTAGAATGTGCAAGTATTATAATTCTGTGTGTTCTCATGTTGATATTTTTCACAATAGTAGTTATGAATTTAGAAAGATTATTCGCGGTGCAGACTTGCAACCAGAATAACTTAATTTTCTTTTTTGTCATTAAATTTTTCTATTTTTTTTGTCATTAAGTTTAATATATGTAGGTACAATATATTATATACTGTATTTAATTGTTAATAGTTGGTAAACCGGCACTGAAGATTCCACTAAAATGCTGTGTACAGATATAATTGGAAATTCAGGTTTACAAATGTTGCTTAGTGTGTAATAACTATATGTATTTCACCAATCTGTTTTCTGTTCCTTAAATGTAAAAATAAAATAAAATAAAATAAACAACTAACATTCGATCATTTTTGCAACATGATGAAACTGCAAATGTGTATGCGAAGCAGTTGTTAGATAATGGAAATAATAAAGTTGCAATGGACACCTCGACCGGATTCATCACATTACCTACAGATTTCTGTCACATCACAGATTCAAAAGAGGAGCTAATTCAGCAGAAATGTTTTTCCAGATATAGCGCAAAAGTTCTATAACCATAATTGGCTGGGTGAAAGAGCAATATTGGCAGCGAAAAATAAAGATGTCGAGGATCTCAATGCGACCATTCAGAATTTTCTTCCAGGACAGTTGGTTTCCTTCAAATCAGTCGACACCGTTATGAACCAGGATGACGTAGTCAACTATCCCACGGAGTTTTTAAATTCTCTGGAATTGCCTGGATGACCACCTCACAATTTGCAGTTAAAAGTAGGATCAGTTGTCATCATGCTGCGTAACATTAATCAACCTCTACTATGCAATGGAACAAGACTGGCTGTGACAAAGCTGATGAATAAAGTCATTGAGGCAACAATCATAAAAGGAAAATACAAAGGAGAGGATGTCTTGATCCCGCGAATACCGATGATTCCAACGGATTTACCATTCGATTTTAAACGCTTACAATTTCCAGTACGTCTGGCCTTTGCGATGACAATAAATAAATCGCAAGGACAGTCTTTAGAAGTTTGCGGAATCAACTTGGAGTTTCCCTGTTTCGCGCATGGACAATTATACGTCGCGTGTTCGCGCGTCGGAAAACCATCTTCTTTGTTTATGCACCACAAAACAAAACAAAAAAATATAGTTTATGAGAAAGCTTTAAATTGATTAACAAACTGTATCATAACAGTGTGTGTCTGTTAATAAAAATTTAAACCTTATAAATAGCCAGTATTTCAGGAAAACACTGTTTTTTTAAGTAAGCAACATGATGTGTCGAAAATAATAATAAAACTGCATGCTTCAATAAAAAAATGCTTTTTTATTCAATACGTTTTGTTTGTTTTGAAATTAATTTATACAAAAGTTTAGGTCTTTTATTTATCGATTGAGGCAGTACGAAGTCTGTCGGGTCAGCTAGTGTTACAAATATTATTTGATCAAGATATTCCATAAAAAAGGTTCTAGACTAGAACCTTTTTTGTGGAATAGCTACTCTTTTTTTTTTAATATTATGGCAACAGTTTAACTCTATGCCAGTTTCAAGTAAAAGTAGCTACTCCTTAATAGATGTCGCTAAACTAGTATAAATAGGTGCGATAGCTAATTGAAATAAAAGTTGCTTTTGCCGCTAGATGACGCTTTATCACGTAAATGCAATATTAGTTTTGCTACCACTTAATAGGTAGCGGTTTTTTCAAATTAAAAAATGTCAAAACGAATCTCATATTACGGTTACAGATAAATTTTATTAAAAATTGTTTAAAATAAACTAATGTTGATAAATTAATACAATTGCGATCACTTTTATAGATTTAAACTTCGCAACGTATATTTTCGAAAACGCGAAACGTTACGAGTAAGTTGATAGTAAACAATAAAAATATCGTTTATAACCTAAAAAAACAAATGAAAGTTAGTTTAAATGTTCGAATTTATATACTTTTTTTACAGATTTCTTGTAGAATGGATAAAATAGAGGTGGATCCGAAGCTTTTTATAACTTGTCGATTATGTTTGGATGAAATGGGCCAGTATCAAATTGTTCCAAATGTACGAACACAAATAAAGTTCTGTTTTGATATAGATGTAAGTACCTTTTAATTATACACTACACTCAGTTGTGTTTATTTTCTCTATGCAGATTCATGTTAATTATTTTATCAGCAATTTTGTATATGCATCATAGGTCTAATAAGAAGCTTATACATGTCTTTCACTTTACTATGCTTTATGAAACCGTTCAATCTGGTGTGATTTTTATTGTAAGGAGGCATTTGACATATGTCATCGTATTCATCAGGTTCTGCAATTTGGAGACCTAATAGGAATATTATATTACAACCTTTAGTCCCGGCAAAACCATATTGTTTCAGGTTTTGCATGCAAAGACTTGCTTTGAAATTTATTATCAACTAAACACTGACTTGCCCCATGCTCCAATTTTAGATATTAGACCTCAAACACCAATTATTGCATGATATTATGGGTACTCTTAACTGATATAGTCCCTCTAGATCTCAGGGCTCTAGTTAGAAACACAATGTGTGTAATGCTGAACTAATCAGATAATGATCAGTGAATTACACAATATGTGTATACAATTTTATTATTATACAAAATACAAAAGCCTTAGCTGGTAAACAATTATTATAACATCGTTAAACATCTTTTTTGGTTGGGCCTGTAGACTTATAGGCCTTCTCCAGCTTCTTCCACTTTATTACATGGCCTTAGAAAAAGTATGAGTTGTCTACTTTTTTGAACAACAACCTCAAGTCTCCTGAACTGTCCGATGTCTGTGGCCCGCTTATTGTTCGCCCCTCCTGTATCCTAGGATGCTTTTCTGGCAGGTTCTTAGTTTATTTTGCTAACTTTTTTTTTTCAAGTCTGGTGTGAGTATTGGCAAGATGCACATGTTGAAGAGACCTTATAACTGATGTTATTTTTCCAAGCAGTCAAACAACTTGTTTTTATCTACATACATACATTTAATATCAAATCTATTTCTGCAAATCCAAGCTTTTTACATTTGACATAAGGTTGATACGAGGACTGATAGGTCGGTAGTTATCAATGTCATCTTTTTGTATAACAATACAATGGTGCTACTTGTCCATTGAACAGGGATATATTCTGACTCCAAAATCAGGTTGTAGATCTTAGTCAACTTTTGACCATTATCTGGTAATGTTATTTTCAGGATCTTATTGGTATATAGTCCGAGCCTGGTGACTTGTCATTTTTCTGTGACTCCAGTTTGTTGTTTCTGTTTGCTGTCCATAATTTTGGTTCATGGAGTTCCTTCAGTACTTTCTTGATCCCTTCTGTTTTACTAATGTTGTGGTTTAAGGCATTCCATTCTGTTTATTTCTGTCTGTCTTCTTCTTTGCTTATTTCTTTGTAAATCCTGTTTTTTTTGTCCATTCAGTAGTGTTTTGTCTTTCTTAACGCCCTTTAGTTGTTGATCAGTACGAACTTGTGTTTGAAGTCCCCCTGCTACGCGGAGTCTTGTCCAATTTAACCCCAAGAAGATACAAATTTACGCGTTTTCCGCTAAAAATCACTTTTTTCCCTACTGCCCTTTCCGAAGACACTCTTACGCCACAGCCAGCATCAGAATTCTTGATAATTATGATTATATTGTGAAATATTATTACAGTCGAAACCGATTATAACGACCGATTGGTTATTACAGCCAGATTGTAAAGTCCCGCCCGAATCTCTAGTAAACTATTCAGCAAACATACCGCCTATAACAACATCGGATACAGCGACATATCGCTTACACCGACGAAACTTTATCGATATTTATCGACTATAACGACCAACCACTTCTAGTCCCAGCAAAACAAAACAATACGGACGATTTTAAATCTTATTGATAAGCGTTGAAGGAATATTTAGGCGCGTATTATTACCTACGCACTTTCTCCCATCTCATACGAATCTCTTCCCGGCCATTTGACCTTGCATATTTTACACCAATTCAGAAAACAGACTAAAATGACTGATTACTTTAAAAACTAGTGTAGTCTTACAACCCGTACTTCAAGCAGCTAAGTACATTTTGTATTCTAATTATGTATTTCTTAATAAATATTTTTATTTATTTTCTAACATTTCATTTGACAACAAGTTCATATACATAACCTATACCTATACTAGATAGATATGTACCTATAATATATATATATAACTAAACTAATGTTACTATGTATGTATGTGTATTGCTTATAACAACTATCGTTTATAACTTCGGCAACTATACGGTCCCTTCAAAGTCGCTATATCAGGTTTTGACTGTATATAGTACAGCCGTAAGAAGCCGTACAGTACTTACAGTAAGTAAGAGTCTCACCCGACGAAGATACATGCCCATTTTTTGGCGGCTTTTTCTTGAAGCAGATGTTCAGATCTTTAGTTTGTGTTCCAGGGCCAATGTTATCATCCTTTCACCATTCGGGCTCCTTATTCCGGTTCCATGTTTTCCCATTATACATTCCTCTCCTGGAGGCTTTTTACCAACAACCGTATTTTTATATATGTATTATATATTTATTTTTGTTAAAAATATTTTTCCTTTACCTCTCTCTGCTGGTACGATAAGGCTGTAAATATACTTTACAGCCTTATGGTAGTACACTCAGATCTATATATACAGGGTGTCCCAGAAAGAATGGATAATCCTTGAACCCCGCACGGAACAGCTCTCCAGCGCTCAGAAAAAAATATCAAAAAAAAAAATTCCAAGTGATGCCCAAAATATGTTTTTTTTTAGAAAAACATACGTTATTTTTACTTTACTTCACATTCATGTGCACAACGGCCACAAAGTAATGAAATTTGTGGCGTTTTTGGTGTCATCTTATTCCTGATAGACTATACTACTAGAAATACATTAAATAATATAAGTATCTATGATACTTTTTTCAAAAACAAAATGAGAACTTGAGTTTTTGACATGAAATTTGATAACATAATAATTTTGGCATAGTTTGAGAGTGTTTCATGTAAAAAAAAAGTATGAAAACGTAAGTGACCAGCTATTTAAAAAAAATGCGCAGTTCATACCGTTTACAAAATGGTATAATACATCATTTTATCTAATACTACTACGAAGTTATTGCTATTGAGATGCAAAAAGAGTAAATACGACTAAAAAAGAAAAGATAAGTTTTAATAAATTTTAATAATAATAAAAAAATCGGGTGTACATAAATCGAGCTTTATTCACAAAAGGTGTTCAAATTGTTTGCCACCGACTCTAATACATGCTCTACATCTTCTTATAAATGCTCTTCTGAGATAACGTGCGTAGCGTCGTTCGTTTATTTTTGAAACGCTCTCTTGAACACGGCTTCGTAATTCCTTTTTAAAAAAAAATTTTTTTTGAGTACACTTGTTCCTTTAAACATCCCCAGTAAAAAAAGTCCAGTGGGTTTAAATCCGGGGATCGAGGAGGCCACAAAATGGGACCCAAACGACCAATCCATTTATTTGGATAAGTGGCATTTAAATAAGCACGGACGTTTGTGCCATAATGTGCAGGGCAGCCATCATTCTGTAGCCAATGGGATTCCCTTAACTCCTCAGGCACTTCTTCCATTAAGTTCGGGAGATCATTTTGCAAAAAATTTAAGTAACTTTGAGAAGATAAATTTCCCGGCAGTTCGAAAGGCCCAATAATTATTCCGTTTAATATACCAGTCCAATAATTTACTTTGAACTGGTATTGCGACCTCTCTTCTCGCATTAAATTTGGATTGGAGAGTTGCCAGCTGTGCAGATTATGCATATTAAAGTAGCCGTCTTTTTTTAAAGTTGATTCGTCGCTCCATAGAATTTTACCAAAGAATTGTGGATCTTCTTCTATTTTTGCAAGCATTTGTCGACAAAAAAACAATCTTGCATTGTAATCTCTCGGTTGCAGAGCTTGGACGCGTCTAATGTGGTAAGGATGATATTTATTTATTTTCAGTACACGGTGCACGGTCGTTTTCGGGATTCCAGTACGCTGTGATATTGATCTTACAGAGGTCGACGGGTCTTGCTCAATTTCGTCAAGCACAATGTCTTGAGTATTAATATTCGATTGTCTTCCGGAGCTCGTACCACCAATGCCACTGCCAGGTATTCTGCCTTCCGAATAACATCTATGGACTCTCACGAATACACGGTAATCTGGATGACGTTCATTAGGATATCTTTCTCTATAAAGGGCTGCAGCAGCACTTGCGTTGCTCCTGCACTCACCATAGATGAAGTGCATGTTGGCGTATTCTTGTGCCGTATATTGAATCCGCGGCATTTTGATTCACTGAATCAGTCCAAATACAAGCCAAGTCGTCGTTAAAATCACCAAACAAAGTCCAAATCAGTAAGCAAAACGAGTAGTCCAATAAATAGCCAGAAATCGTCGTTATAACACTGATTCAAACTCACAGAGAAATGCGAAAGGAATGCACACATGCGACACCGAACAAGTCGAGAGACGCACTACTAAATAATCTAAGTAAATGTCTTTGCTATGCATCTGAAACCGATCTGATAATGATCAAACCGGTGTACCGAAAAAAAAGCGAAAAAAGATCTTTTCTCTCACTCGCTCATACTCTACAAACCTATTCTTGTCTCACAACATATGGGCTTGGGCCACGCTCAGGTAGTAAATAGTAACCACCCCTAGTACAATAAAAAGGGACCCTTTTTTGGAACGCTATTGTCAATGTTACCGTTTAAGACAAGATAAAATATCATTTTACAATTTTCTGTCGCATTTACTCTTTTTGCATCTCAATAGCAATAACTTCGTAATGGTATTAGATAAAATGATGTATTATACCATTTTGTAAACGGTATGAACTGCGCATTTTTTTTAAATAGCTGGTCACTTACGTTTTCATACTTTTTTTTTACATGAAACACTCTCAAACTATGCCAAAATTATTATGTTATCAAATTTCATGTAAAAAACTCAAGTTCTTATTTTGTTTTTGAAAAAAGTATCATAGATACTTATATTATTTAATGTATTTCTAGTAGTATAGTCTATCAGGAATAAGATGACACCAAAAACGCCAAAAATTTCATTACTTTGTGGCCGTTGTGCACATGAATGTGAAGTAAAGTAAAAATAACGTATATTTTTCTAAAAAAAAACATATTTTGGGCATCACTTGGATTTTTTTTTTTGATATTTTTTTCTGAGCGCTGGAGAGCTGTTCCATGCGGGGTTCAAGGATTATCCATTCTTTCTGGGACACCCTGTATAAGGTCTTCGTGTCGCTTTACAAAAATCAGATGTCATATGTTTCGCTAGGTACCACCTAGAGGCGCTGAGATAATAGTGGATGATGTTCATATGGCATTAAAGTCGACATTGAAATACCTCGGGTTGGTTCTTGACGCCCGATGGACTTTCAAAGGTCATTTTGCTGCCCTGGAACCCAAGCTTGATTCAACTGCAATGGCATTGGGTCGTATAAAAAAATGAATGCCTTCAAGGCTTTTTGTGAGGCCGTCATGAGTCAGAAAGAGAATGCGGAGCGTCAGCGTGAAAATAATTCTGATGCTCCGCCGGTAAGAAAACGACGACCGGGGCAGCGACGCTGTGCTTTCGCACGTCTGCCCTAAGTTAAGATGCTGAAGATTTGTTCCTGGGAGGAGTCATGGTGGTATTGTGGCATTCGCGTTTGGCGGGGGTAAGGGTAGGGCTCAGCTGTTACCTGCCTCCGCCCTTTGGCGAGCTGAAAGCATCCGTCAACAAGTTGCTGTACATTATTCTCTGATCTTACAGCAGTAATAACTCGGTAAATCCTGAAATTTCGATAAATATTTATTTACACATATATTAACTATAATTTTTGGACGGCATAATTATAAAACATTATTGTCCGTGTTAAATAATATTTTGAACATGTTGCCGTACATTTTACAATGACCTTAGGGTATATGGGTGTAGGGGTAGGGTTGCGACCCTTGGCTTTCGACCGCTCCGCTGGAAATATGTACGGCGTTTACGGGTAAAGTATCTGTATATGTGTCCAAAGGAATTACACAAATGCCGTTCAGTAATAAATGACCTATATTGCTTCAGCAACTATCGTCGAATTAAAAATTTGCACCGACTTCCGGTACCATCACTTTAGTACGGCACTAGGTTTTTCGACATTTATTTTTAATCATCTATACACTATAACAAAGCCGTACATAAATAATTAGTCGAAATTCCACATTTTTACCTGAGAAATTCCATTCACTCACGTACTCACATGTACCGCTTAGAAAAGACGGCATAGTGCTCAGAGTTATTTTCTGATATAGTAACAGCCTTCTAAGCGTTATTCACGTTGGTTCATTTCACAGGTATTTTTTGTTCATCCAGGGCTTGTGGTCTATATGTGAAATAGATGGCATTCGTATAATTAAAAGCTTGAATTATATAATTAAATTATAGAAAAATATAGTCATAACAATCTTACTCGATTAAACTAAATGATGAGGAATGTTGTTTGGTTTAACCTGAAATTTTTTTTACAGGTTGATCCCTTTGATGGTTTACCTCAGTTGATCTGCAAAAGGTGTGAGACTATTTTGTCTGACTTCCATGAAAAAAAGAAAAATTATCAAGAAAAGCAACTAGGTCTTAAAAAAAATGCAAAGCCCAATTGTGTGAGTACTTTATCATATTGTGCTGTTTTTTGCTTGTCTGCGTCTGACCAGCATGTTTTTTCATTCCAGATTGTGACGGCACCTTTACAACAGCAGGATACTGTATCATCAACACAATCTACTATACCTGAAACAAAGACTCAACAATCACTTAAGTTGACTTTAAAGAAGAAACCAAAATCCCTAGAAACAAATTTAAATGAATCTTTCGAAATAAAAAATGATACTAAAACAGTACGATCTTGGCGTAAAAATTACAACAAGTACTTCGCGTGCAGATTATGCGCAGCCGTATACAAGAATAAAAAGATTCTTATGACACATATGGAAAGGCACAGTGCGTTGCTACAAAAATATGGCCACATACTAAAGAAATGTAAAATTCAGTTGCCTAAAATCGATGAAAAAACTAATTTCGTCAGCTCTAACGACATGGTTGTTATGGGTAAAGATCAAATTCTGCTAAACAAATATGATCAATACCGCGTGGTATACCTAAAAAATACTTCAGGTTTACAAGAGAAGAAAGATTTTTCCGAATCCTTAGATTACGACGATTTCATCACTAACGGGAAACGTAAAAGATTAAGGCTACTTTCTCAAAGCTCCAATGAAACAGTTGTATTGGAAGAACCAAAAAAGAATGAAGAATTAGAAACACCGGGTTGCAGTAAAAATAAATTACAAAATATTGTTATGGAATGTGTAGATATTGATTCTTCAGATTCAGAGCCACCAAGCCCCAAAAATGATGAAGGTCGTAAACAAATCATTCGTGAGGTTGTTGCATCCAGTGCCAAGAAATATTTGAATAATGATAACGATAATTGTAAGGAAATACAATTGAAACATAAACTTCTAAGCATAGGCCGAAAAGTCGTCAATAAGAAATCTTTTAATTGCACTGGCTTATTGCGTTACTTGGAACACAAAAATCTGGATGTTGAATGGAATCCTAGAACTGGTCAAAATTCTGAAACAGATTATGTTCATGTCAGAACTAAAGTGCAGGACAATAAAAATGATGCTGAAACAGGTTGGATTATTGCGAGTGAACTAAAAGGTTCAGACATTAACACTTATATGGAAAATTTACAAAAAATATTGGAAAATGATGAGTTGCCAACTCCCGATCAGAATTCAACAGAAGAGACTACAGTGGAGCAAGTGGCTAATGATAATGACGATAATATGCTATTAAAGCTTTTAAATACAAGTCCCGTTGCGAATCCCAAACAACTTCCAAAAAAGACCAAAGAGACTACTAACAAAAGCGTTTCCTCTAGCGATGCAAGTCTATCTATGCCCATCATTACAGACACAGTTTCCTTGGCCGATACAGTGATTGAACGAATGAATGATAAACCAAAAGAGCCTACACCATTTGTACCGCGAATAAAAGTTAAACCTGCCTCGCAGTTAATGGCACACAAAAGCACGACTATAACTGAGACCACACCATCGCAAGTTGCTTGGACTATACCAGAAAAACCTCGAAACCAAATCCCCCAATCCGAATGGGTGGTGATGCATACCGTTGAATTGCCGCAAACAAAAACTTTCTCGCCTTTCAAATACTTTCAAAATCTGCTTCAAATGCACGGTATTACCTTGTTGGACACCACTGCGCTGGTGCCGAGTGATTTCGTTTCATTAATAAAATTCAAATCGGTGTTTAAGCAGGAAACAAAACGCGTCACACTCTCGCTAGGGCTTCTTAGTGATTCAAGACACTTCTATATTAAAGTTACCGAATCAACGAATGAACAACTGGATATAAATACTTTAATACCTACTTGGCAATGGGAAATACTTTCTTTATATAAAAGTGAGATTGCTAATAATATATTGGAAAATTCTAAGAAAGTCAACCAAAAAATGTACGATTCGACTAATTATTTTATCAGTTTGTTGAGGTCCATCGTATTCAAAAGGCTTTAGAGCCAAGAAGCAAATGAGCAGGCGGATCACTTAATTAAGTGCTTACCGCTGCATATAGACACCTGGAACACCGAGTGGATTGTGCATTACCAGGCCGGTATGCTTTTCTCTTGAAATCTCGTGAATTGAGACTGAAAACGTTTTAATAAATGTATTGGATGAAGCCATAGTTTAGTTATACGTTTTTTTTTCTCTTCTTTTTTTAATAGCTTTTGTTTGTGCTTAGTGGGCACAAGGATTATACGTCTTTTTTTTTTCGTTTTAAAAGACGTTAATTTCTGTTAGCTGTCAAGTTGGCATGTCAAAAACAATTTTGACATATCGCTGTTATAATAAAACTTTGTATATTTTGTTGAATTTTCTTAAACCTTTTATATTCTACATTTATTGTTTAAAACTTGATACCTACTTAAGTTAGATTCAACAATGTGAAGATTCTAACAAAAACGTCAAAATTTCGGCCTTAGTCTCTCTCTTGACGCATGTCTGAATTTCGTTATCCTTAGATTTTGACAGATGAAATCTTCAAAGTACTATGCAATAATTTGTTATGTCTACGAAAGACATTATAAAGGAAATTTGTTTTAAATGGATTTGCACAAATATACATCTTGAATTTACAATTTTATCGTATTTTCGGCGAATTGTTTTTTAATTGCCTGTGTAATGATCTGTACTTTTGAAATAAATTTTTACTCAAATATACTTAGTTTAATTTACCCACAACAAATATTTTTATATCCCGCATAATACCTATGCGCGGCGTACTTAATGTAATATAAATTATCATGTTTGTGTACGATAGTGCAATAAATAAATATTGTATTCTACCACATAAATGATAGTACTTTTCTACTGATGATTAAAGCAATTCGTGCAAAATGATTCCCTAACCATTCCAAAATATCAAGTTATACTCAAGTTTTCACTTCTGCCGGCACTCCCAGAGTGCAACCCGTATTTTTTTTTCGACTTGTATTTTTATGAAAGTGTAAAATATAAATGAGGAAAATAATACAAGGAATTCAAAATGTAACATTTAATTTTCAACATCAGAATTAAAAACATAACCTATCAACAGAAATGATACTTAAAATTATGTGTTAAACTGTTTGAACTGTCTTACGATTCTGTAACTCACTTTTCGAACTCACACAGCGGTTTTCGCATCGGCGGTCGCTCTCAAATCAGTCGTGAAGCAGTCATTTTATGATTTGGCATTCTGATAAACAATAAACTACAAGCTCCCACCTTTTCGCAGGGCAGTTTACCTAGACTTCAGCGTCTCTTATCCTGTCGTAGGTTCTAACCCTGGTCGAACCAATGGACTTTCTTTGTTTTTATGAGCTCGTACGAAGAAAATCATCGTGAGGAAACTAGACTTAGATCTTAAGTCGTCTTATTGTTTAAAATGACGCCTTCCCAACTTTTACCATACGGAGTCATACTCAACCAAGTCTCGACTCTTACCCACGTCTCTGAGTAGGGGCTGATTAGAGAAACTATAAAAAGTGTTTTTATATATTTTTTTTAAGTTATACTTCTTTAAGCGCGTTATGAAAAATTGATAAGAGAGAAATTTTACGCGCGCACCGTGACACAAAATTAACAGAATGAAGTTGCCCACGGAAGATGCCACGGCATTGGACATAATTTAAAAACAACATTCGAATAATAATAGAATTAATGTTACACTTAATGTAAGAGAATAATAATAAATATTTATTTATTTAATTTTTCAAATGTAAACTGAACTTTATTGACTATAATGACTCCTTTTCCAGTCTTTGATTATTGAATTGTAATTAATTATTTGCATGCAATCAAAATCTATTTTTAATAATGCACCCTTTTTTTTAATTATTAGTAACTATCTAATGTTTGTTGTACAGTCAAAACCCATGTTCAAAGCTTCTCATCCTCTGCATCTGTAAATCCTTGATGATTAGCTGTTCTGGACCTTGGTGCTCACAGACCTCAAGATCAAACAGAATTTCTATTACACACAAACAAAGTCCGACTCCAACCTTTAAAAGGTCTTGTCACGAAAACACTATCCAAGAGTCCATATTGCCTCCACATTATCCAGAACCTCTAGAGGCGATGAATGTTTGTGGAACATGAAGTAGCCTTGTATTTGAGCTGGGCTCACATTCTTTTTTTTCTCCATTACTCTGAAAAAAAAAGGAAATTACTTAAAGTTAAAACCAGCAGAACAGGAAATTGAAATTAAAGGGAAAAGGAGTTCCATTTGAAAACAATAAGCCGGACCAATAAAATAATCCTGCTCTGGGGGCGCAGTTAACAGTGATTATGGCAACATTAAGTATGCAAATTTAATGACATTTGACATACATAAAGTATGTCTGACTTTTTTTTTATAGAACTTTTTTTTTATTGGACAATTCACACCAATTGTAGTAGTCCCATGCTAAGCTGGTGAAGCTTGTGTTATGGGTACTAGGCAACGGATATACATACATATTATAGATAGATAGACATATAAATACATATTTAAACACCCAAGACCTAAGCACAACACCAAATGCTCATCACATCGATGTTTGTCTCAGCCGGGGACAATGAGCCGACAAAAGAACTGGGGGCAAAAAGACAGGAGGCTCACCTGTTGTTAAGTAATACTCATGAACACAATGCCAGAGGGTGTTCGATAGTAAAATACTTCGTTAAAAAAAGTTTTTCTTAACTAATAGTTTTAATTAGATCGCGCATAAACGATTCGACACCACACTTTGACAGTTGACAACCACACAATCAAATAAACACCACACTTTGACAGTTGTCATTTCAAAGATTGTTGCAATTAAAAAAAATGTTTTATTGCCCAGGCTCCAGATAATTATTTTTTAAATTGTATAAATAAATAACATTTAGACTACTGATAAAAATGCGGATAAATGAATGCAAATGGCGATTGTAATAGTATCTGAACAAATGGAAAACTTTAACAGTGCTAAAATATCTAAGTTTATATTGTTTAGTTCAACATTAATCATGTTACTTAATGACAATATTTTAATAAGAATTATATTTGTTCGCATAAGTGCCGCGCCCATTTTGTTACCGCACACTTAGTCTATCGATCTTTGTTTGCAGAGTGAGTTCACAATAGCGATATTGTAATTAATATTATATTATCATCAAATATTTTTGTGAATAATAAAATATTTAATGAAAAATTCACGAAAGACTCGAATGCTTTTTCCTTGTTTGGTACGAAAATGATTTTGCATTCGTTCGTTACAAGACGGCCATTTTATTGTAATTTATTCCTTTTAATATTTGATATTGAGTGCTTAGCAAAATATATTTTTAAATTAAGCTACAGCTGTATAAGCAAAATTCAGTACTTATTAAAATGAAACGCATTTTTCTATAATATAACAGCTAGGATCGAACCTACGACCTCAGGGATGAGAGTGGCAGGTTCGATTCCTAGTTGTGCACCAATGGAATTTCTATGTGCTAACACTCGCTCGTACGATGAAGAATGGCTTTAGAACCAAAAATTCAAAGTGTGTCAGGCACAGAAGACCAACTGTGACTGAAGAAGATACATAAATCTTGAACCTAAAAGGTTGGAATGCAATTGTTTTTTTGTAATTTCAGTGTTTTATATCAATATACAACCTTTTTAGGTCTGGGCCTCAGATTTCTGTATGTCATGATCATTTGTCAATCTAATAGGTAAGTAGGTGATCAGCCTTCTGTATCTGACACATCAAATTTTCGAGTTCAAGGCAAGCCGGTTTTCTTACGATTCTTTCAGCGATCGAGCGAATGTTATATGCACATAGAAAGTCCATTGGTGCACAGCCGGGGTTCGAACCTAAGGGTTGAGAGTCGCACGCTGTAGCCACTAGGCCAACACTGTCGGTCATTTCACTTTTCATCAAAACTAATATGAATCCAAAAACTGGATCGAATTTAGATTTCTTCTCACTTTTATACAACTTTAGTTTTCGACTTTCTACATACACCTAAGGCCCTATCCCAGCTCGAATTGCTGTGTCAGTATCTCGGCGTGGACTGCGGGGCGCAGTGGAGAGCTGGAGCACTGAGGCGCGCCGGCCCGTAATAACAATTAGTTATGTAAAACATTCAATTAATGTAATTTTATCAAATTTTTCTGAAATGGTTTACTTGGCTTGCGATAAAATATATCGTGTAAAATTCAAAATCATGTTCTATATACATTTTTGTCATAAAATGAATTCAAAGTGTCATAAATTGGCTATGATTTTTTTTCTATCGAGCGAAGTTATTTAAATCGTGTATCGATCTTTCAAAATGGATGCAGAAACTACTCAACTCCACCATATATTTTTTCCATTGCCTTACTTCAAGAAACGATTACGAAAAATGGAAAGAAACAATGTAATAAAACAATTTTTTACCGGATTGAAGTTATGTATTTACAATTATTTTTCATAATATTAAATATAACCGACGTTTCGCGTGATTTACAGCGTGCGTGGTCACGGTGACTTGAACGTCGGTTATATTTAATATTATGAAAAATAATTGTAAATACATAACTTCAATCCGGTAAAAAATTGTTTTATTATCAAATGTGTGGAAATTATGTCAATAAAAGACAATACTAAGAAAAAATGTACTTTTACGAAGTTTGGGGACCACATCGGTCCTTAAGGCGTCTTGTCTAAGACTGCTAGTACTCACTTTTTGGCAAACGTCCTGGCGTGGTCAGCATCTTTATAAAACCTCAAAAACATAAGCTCCACTTGCGTTTCGTCACAATGGCCCACGAATTCCTTTACGTCTACACGACCGGGTCTTATTAGAGCTGGATCTAACCTGTTAAGTATAGGAAAGGAACCGTTCAAGTATTACGTAAGCACTATAAGAGAGGGGGGGAATTTCCTTATTTGGTGATTACGTAAACAGTAATTATTTACTTTTTCACACATATTACCCACACATTGACTATGCTTGAAAACGAAATGCATTTTCGAGGATTCCTAAGAAAAATTAATATGTTTATGTACTATTATTTTTGAAAGCTTTGCTTACTTATGCTGACATGAGGAAAGGGAGGGGGGGAAGGCAGTAAATCTGATTCTCGACTAATCTAGAACTGACTGTTCTTTTAATGGCATCCAGATGTCGGACTGGACAGCCCAGCTGGGGCTGTTTTGGAGAGCGTAGCTCTGCCGGAATTGACTTTTACCCGCGAGACGACTACCACAAGGGCGTCTCCGTACGAAAATGATAATATAATACAAGAGAAAAATGATTGTTATTAAAAATATCGCCAAGGGGGGCGTGTAAGAAGATTTACTGCAATTTTCCCCCTCCCCATTCCTCTTGTCAGCAAAAGCAGGCAAAGCTTTAAAAAATAATAGTAGATACATAAACGTATTAACTTTTTGTAGGAATCTTGTAAATAACTAAATAATTACTGTTGACGTAATCACCAAAGAAGAAAATCAAATACCCAATAGTGCTTATAAGGATATTGCAAAAAAAATCTTAAAAAAAGGTAACGAATGAACTTGAAATAGAGTTCAAGGTCATCAGATTTTTTTTTGTGTATAGATTCTATTACCTCTCCAAGTAATTTGTGGTCATAAACACAATTCGGGCCTCCGTGGATGCAACTCCATCCAGACAGTTGAGCAATCCACTAAATGTCACTCGATTGAGACCCTCATACGCTGCCTTCTGCTGTGCTGATTCTTCTCGAGAAATAAATGCTGCATCGACATCTTCTAGAAGGATTATTGATTGCTGTGGTGCCACACTAAAAAGTAATATATTTTTGGCAACAATTTCGTTTTAAAGCTATTAGGTAAAAAATTTGTAACACAGCAAGACCCTGTACACCAAGGAATCAGATGCTGATACATGACCCTCTAGACCCGTTAATGCCAGAGGCTGCCTTTTTGAGTGACACTGTTCATGGACATGATACATGACCTCTAGAACCGTCCATGCCAGAGGCTGCCTTTTTGAGTGACACTGTTCATGGACATGATACATGACCTCTAGAACCGTCCATGCCAGAGGCTGCCTTTTTGAGTGACACTGTTCATGGACATGATACATGACCTCTAGAACCGTCCATGCCAGAGGCTGCCTTTTTGAGTGACACTGTTCATGGACATGATACATGACCCCCTAGAACCGTCCATGCCAGAGGCTGCCTTTTTGAGTGACACTGTTCATGGACATGATACATGACCTCTAGAACCGTCCATGCCAGAGGCTGCCTTTTTGAGTGACACTGTTCATGGACATGATACATGACCCCCTAGAACCGTCCATGCCAGAGGCTGCCTTTTTGAGTGACACTGTTCATGGACATGATACATGACCTCTAGAACCGTCCATGCCAGAGGCTGCCTTTTTGAGTGACACTGTTCATGGACATGATACATGACCCCCTAGAACCGTCCATGCCAGAGGCTGCCTTATTAAGTGACACCGTCCATGGACACTCACACTACTAGAAGGTTCTAAAGTTATAATTTTACAAAGTGTTTTTGAATGATTTGTTCAACTTAAGTGATGTTTAAGACACATAAATTTGTGTGTACACATACACATAAATTGGAAAAACAATGACTATTATGTAGAAAAAAAAAGAACAAGAAGATTTAAGACCTAGACTGTGTTAGAGTAGTCAGTAGTAGTCAATATATGCTTTAATTATTTACTTCACATAAGTGAACATCCTTCAACCTAAAACAAATTTTATTTTCATTTGGCTGAGAAATGAGCCCAGTAACTCCAAGGTAAAATTGCAGTTGAAGGCTTATAATATATATTAAATTCTTACCTCAATAAATGATTCAATCTATCATCTGTTAAGCCCCTTTCGGAGAGATTCAAAACACATATATTATATTCTAGAGCACCAGCTAATGCCATTATAAATGAAGATTTACCACAACCAGGTGGACCATAGAGCAGATAGCCTGAAAATGTTGATCAGATATATTAATAAGACCTTATTTGATTTTTTAATTCAAATATTAAAGATACAAGATTGAATAAAATTTAATAAATATTTATATGCATTTGTGAATGTAAACAATATATTCAGTGAAAAAAATAAAGTGTAAGTCTTAAAATAAATAGGTAAAAAGTTATTGCTTACCTCGTCTATAAGGAATCCCTCTATCAGTATACCAGTTTGGATTATCAATAAAATCTAAGCAGTCTGCAACTATCTTATCTGCTAAGCCACTTCGTAAAATAACACTTTGTATTGGTCGCCTTCGCCTTGGATGACCAAAAGGTCTCCAATCTGATCCCATTGCTGTGTACATCACAGTCATACCTTCATGCTGTTTGAGAGCCATAGTTCTAGCTGAAATAGTAAAATCAAAGTTATACTTAAGTTCCGTAACACGCACATTTTCAGTGTATGTGTTGATCATTGTTTAAGCAGTAAATTTATTATTGTTTCACAATAATTTAATTATTATTATTTTTATTAAAGCTGTATTAATTAATCCATACAACAATTTGTTAGTTTATATTCCTTAATATTAGTATTGCTCAGAGGCCAGAGAGCAGAATGGTCGAAAAAAGTCATTCAATGGACACCTCGCTACAACACCAAGCGAATGAGAGGAAGACCATGTGTGCGGTGGGCTGATGACTTTAAAGAAGCCACTGGTCCTCTGTGCCAGGGATAGGAAGCACTGGAAACAGCTGGAGGAGGCCTTGGTGCCACAAAGGCAAGCTGTACAAGAGGACAGTTGTGCAACAAAAGCTTTAAGAACTTTTTGTTTTATATATACATTTATATTTTATAAACTTTCTCTTGTATTAGTTGTAATAAAGGCTTTAAAATTGAGCTTGAAAATATTAGTATTAGTTGTGCTAGTATACATTCTAAAAAGTTTAAGTTAGATTTCTTTTTTAGTGATCTAGTTTTCAATGGTTTTTTAGAGTAAAAGCCTCCTCCACATTTTTCCATTTCTCTGTGTCTTAAGCAACATTCATCCAGTTTATGGCATCTGTCCATCATTTCTTTTGTCATCCTATAATTCCCTTTCCAGTAGGTCCAGTCCAAGAGTTTAAATATACTCCAAAAATTTGATTAAAAAACCATTGAGCTTAAGTTTTAATGAAGAATTTGAAGCCCAATGCAAAACAATGCCAAGTCATTATTGCACAATACAATTAATTAATTAAGATAATTTACCTTCTTCAAGAATATCATAGTATAGTTGCTTATTTCTCCCAAAGGATGTTAATGTGACAGTCTCCCATGGAACTCCCATATGAAGATCAAGAGTTTGTTGTTCTCTTACACGATCAACTTTTATCCAGGCACCTTGGTATCTGTAAAATTATTGTTGTCCCAATATATAACTAAAACTTAACTATTACACATTACAAACATAGTTTTAGTAAATATTGTCTTCTATTTTGCATTGTGTACCTAAAGAAATGTTGTCCGACACTAGGTATAAAGTCATATTTTGTTTTTATTTGTCCTGTATCCTTCTGGAGAAATGACGTCTCTACACTCAAATGCTGGGTTTGTTTGGCGCCTTTTAGAGTAATCCATTGCAACAACCACTGATAAGATTTATCCCTACATGGAACTTCTAGTGTTATCATACAGTGTCTTCTAAATAACATCATAGAAGTCTGAAAACCTTTACGTAAAATCGCTGCACCGGCACCCACACCAAAGAGTCCAAATCCGGCCCCAAAATAGGGATTTTGAGATAATGACGCCACATATTCCGTTAACGGCATATTGTTTTATTATATTTAAGTTCAAAATCTGAGTTTTGAGGCAAATTTTTAAATGTTACGCCATATATACAGCCAGCCGCAATGCAAAATCTTGACCGTTGACGTATTTATGACAATCAGCTGATTTTGACTTTCACATATGACATTAACACCTTACATTTTGGGTATGTTCCGATATACACTGTGAGTACTGTATAGTGCTCCCACTGTTCAAAAATTCGTTCCGCTATGGACGCCAGTATACAGCCGCAGCGTCCTAGGGAAATATATGACGTCACAAATCCCCGCTATACTTCTACTGCGAGCACTGGCGTTTTCGAGGTAAGGTACTCGCAGTGCTTTGATCACGTGATCAATCAAAACCACTTGAATGCCTAACGGCTGATATAACTTACAGTTTAATAACAAACATTTAAAATTCTAACTTACTTTCTTTGTAGTATTAATTCAATTGACAGTTAATATTAATATAGATTTTTTTAATGCGATAATACTCCAATAATAGTTTTTCTTGTTGAATTGAAAAACTTTGATGCACTCATTTGAAAATTGTGTCGAAAAACGAAGCTGACTAGTATACTGGACTGCGTTCCGTTTTAAATTGTAACTATAGCTGGCTATAGAGAAACGGTTTCACAGTATACTAAATTGACGGTACTCTGTACAGTGGTCGCAGTGTATATCGGAACATACCCTTTATCAAAGTCTGTAAGTTGTATGATCATGCAAATATCCTAGATTATAGCATATTTTTGTTGACCTAAAGGTTGTAAATGCCAGGGACCTTAGTCAAGATGCCTTAACAGTACTGTCATTTCCATACAAATTAAGTTTTCGACTTTCTACATACACTACTGTTAAGGCATCTTGACTAAGGCCCCAGGGGGTCTAGCCAAGATGGCTTAACAGTAGTGTATGTAGAAAGTCGAAAACTAAATTTGTATGAAAATGACAGCTCGTGTCGACAGTCGGTAGCCTAGGCCCTAAAGGCGTGAGTCGGGATACAATAAGCAACGCCATGACAGTGCTACGAAAAGACACACATTAACGCTTACGCTATTCGGTAGCCAACGGCCAATTAATGTTTCGGCAGTGTAGAAAAAACGGCGTTTCTCCGCCATGTTTTAGCGTGATCTCAAAAGCTGCTGTTTGCAACAATTCAGTACAACTATTGCCATCTTTAATGGCTACCGTTTTAAAAACATGTCATATTTTAGACGTTTTAACGAAATGGTTTTAATTTGTTATCTGTCTTTTTTTAACGTTCTCGTGTACCTAATTACATATAATAATTTAAACTAGAGTTAATATTTTTAAGTTAAGAGTTTTAGTTTTTCTATGAATCAATGCGAGGATAACATAATAGACACAGATAAATATGAAAATATCAAGAAAATCAGTAAATTAGTAGAGGTAAATCCTAGTGATATTGGATATATTTTATTGATATTTATATTGCATGTAAGTTCATGAAATTATTCTTTAATTTGAAAAATATATATATCATTTAATATTGCATATATTATGTAATCACAAAGTAAAATGATTGTACATTTTATTTGTATATTTCAGATGAGAAAGCAGTCACTAATGAACATAATTAGAAGTTCTAAATATATTTTATTGTAATTATAATAGAAGCTAATGATATAATATTGATTTAAATTAATCAAATAAAGTGGATTTATAGCCATGTATATGAACTTTGGAAATATAAAATCTAGTGAGCAATACTAAGTAATCGTAAGCAGATATTTTCTTTAATTATTTACTAAGTCAATATACTAGAGAAGTTATTATAATATTGTTAATAAATGAGAAGTTTGAATTCAAGTCCCTTGGGAGTTACTGACATTGTTTGGTTGTTAAAAACTTTAATTGACAATAAGCAGCAAAGTGACAAATTAAGTATATTTTTAAGTTTAGAATTAAGTAAAGAGTTTTAATATTAAAGTTACCTATTGAACAAACCTTGGACCGATCTTACAGTTTAGTTTGTCAGTTTTCTATTTGATCAAAGTACTAACTAAAATATTTTCTTTTCAGAAAAAGAGAAGCTAATAAGACAACTAAAAATATTAAAAAAAAACACAAATGGACAAGTTTTATTAAAGTCTTATCTTTTAATTAATTTAAGTGCTATATTATGTACCTGAAAATGAATTTGATAATGGGGAATGAAGCATTTTATGAATAATGTAAAAAATAAGACAAGTGGAGTATGAAATAATGGTTGGTTTGGTTTGAGTAACATTACCTCATGAACAGGAAACAGTAACTGAAACTATGTTCTTCCACATTTAATCTTAATAAGGTCAGCAGTTTGAATATTAATGAGATATTATTATAAACAAACTGCATTTGTAGATTTTGGGAAGAATTATATCTTTACAATAACTATTATTATTTACAATCACCCAGGATGTATTCATAGTAACTGTAGGTATCATAGTAATTTTATGAAATCATCACAACATCTAACGTTAGGTTTTATGAATTGAAAATTTTTTTGTATATAACAGCACACAAACAAGATATTGACATTGGTGCAAATTAACACTTACATTTATTAGTTAATTATCTACATATATAAATATGAATACATCTACATTAGGTAGTAATGCATTGAATTTGGTGCACCTGTGTGTGTACAGTAGTAATGTCTGTATTGTTTAATAAGTTGTTACATATGCTTATTTTTCTATGTAGACTGCATTATGGTAAGAAAGATATTTGGTGCCTTATTTTAATAAAAAATAACCATAACTGTAGCATTTTTATTTTGATACCTGTTTGTTTAATATTCCTAACTATTAGTAGGTATGGGTCATTCATATATGCATTATCTGTATATTCTTGTAAAATAAACTAATATTGTTAACCACTTTAATGGCTTTTCCTACTAAAGAAGACATAGGTAAATTACCAAAAATAAAACTGACAAATACATAACATACAATGTTTATTCATTTCTTACTTTAACAGATTTTGTTTTACATATTAACTAGTAGCAAATCACTGATATAACCAAAAGCTAATTGACATAAATATTAACTTAAAATCAGCGTCAAACTTAAATTTATATCTAAGATGTTGGAGCATCAATATGGAATCAAAGGTTGATTAAGGGTTATAATTTCATACCAGACTAAGTTTCTATTTTATAATTTTTATTAATCCCTCTTTTCATTTCATTGAGTATTTGCTGATTTTCAATTCTCACTTTCTAAAAGTATAAATTTATTATAAACAATCAACCTTTATGACTCTTAACTTAAACTGATATTGTTTGTTGGACATAAACAGAGATAATTCCAACTAGTAGCAAATCACTAATAAAATCTACACTTATATATAAATCTGCTTTCAAATTGACATTAAAAATGTTCAAGCACAAACACCAAACCTAATTAAAGCTTAAATCAAACTCTAATTTCAGTGTTCACACTAGTCTACGTTTTTTTTCTATTGTTTTTTAATTCATTGGACTTTATCAACTTCTAGTCAACCTTATTTTCACTCTTTATTTATCAATCCACAGTACTATTTCTATTGTTTCTTCTAAGCGGTAACAAAATCTGTTGCTTCTTCCTTTTGCAGATTAGTTGTGAGGTCAAATCCTAAAAATATCAAAGTATGAGTACTACTAATTATTATATATCACGATTATGCAATTTCAAAATATTGTATTTTTGTAACCTTAAATTTCTGAGAAAACATGAAACAAACCATAATTAATTTAAACATTCAATTAAAATTCATATATTCACTTTGCACCTTTCGTAAATTCCACTTAAATCGAAAATTGTTCCGACCTTGCTGACATTCTAATGTCCGTTTTGCAGCTTCCAATTGCAAAGTTACAATAATATTGTAAAATTTTTAACTTTTATTTGTTTATAAAAGTGACATTAGGAATACGTTTAATCCAGAGACAATATGACGGAATAAGGTGCTACGAACAGCAGCTCGCTTCTACGCTGTCGACTTTGCGGTAATGTATCGACATGCCTCTTGGCTACGAACGAAGCGTTTTCGACAATACAATTACGCAAAAGCGGTAGTGTATGTAGAATACTTTTCGACACCAATATGGCTAGACCCCCAGGTCATAAGTTCCAAAAAAAAAAAAAAATAGCATATTTTTGTAAACCATTCGATTGCATGCATTATGGTTAAATTTTTAATAGGTGTAGTATTGGATATAATGTGATACATATTGTAATGTCAATCTTATAATTTATAAAATATGAATTATCTATTAAAATTTGTTTTACAGCGTAAAAACTACTATATTTATTATTCTCTGATATATTATCTAATCCTTTTACGGCAGATGCTCAGGCTTTTAGGAATATATTCCTTCATATAAGAGAGACCCTACTAAGATGTAAACTGCATTTATATTCGTTGTGTAGGTTAAAACTTCAGCGAACAGATGTGACTTTTTTATATAATAACTATTGTGTTATAACCGATTGTATTTAACAATGTTTCTGTTAGAGTTTGAATATGTAAGTAATGGCAGGCAACACTTAAATCACATGTAAAGAAAAAGTTTTTGATTTCGAATATTGGAATGCCTATTTAAATCTATATAATAATGTTATTTATTGAGAAAGATTTACAGCTTATTACTAACTTTCTTACTAAATACAATATTCTTTTACGCCATTAAAAAATCTTTACAAATAGTTAAGAACTAATAATATTAACTGTATTGGTAACAATAAAATGATTTTATTCAACTAAATAAATATATATCAAAGAAAGTAATAAACTAAGTAAAAATTGGCTAAGTAACGCTAAACAGTTTAGTATAACTTATATGTACACTTATAAAAACTTATGGTACATCATTCATTCCACTGAGGAGCTCAGATGTCATAGCTCTCCTTGCCGACCCCACGCTTGAGGCGTATAGGTCAATATCACAAGTTAGACTATTAAACTTACTCGCCGCCCTAACCATAAAGCTGTTCCCTCTGTAATTGGTGTTA